TTATTCATATAATATATTAATAAATCATAATAACCTCTTTCTCCATTATTCATCAAGTCAAGTTGCTTTGGTGAAGGCAACCCAAAATGATAATTACCAAAAACATAAATCAGATATTCACATCAATATATTTATTAAATATAGTACTTGATTCGGTGAAGACTACCGGATCAAGTACATATCAAATATAGTTATGGGTTTAGACATTAATCTAACAATATTGCATGGTACAAAATCATAATTTTATCAAATATCTATACACATAGAACGTAGATCAGATATTCACAACTATATATATATATATATATATATATATATATATATATATATATATATATATATATATATATATATATATATATATATATATATATATATATTAATTTTAACTAATCATTATAAACTTATAAATAAAACTTATGTCTTTGTAAATTAATATTTTTTTGTAAATTTTTAATTAATCATTACGATTTAAAATTATCAATAATAAAAAAAAAAAATCAACCGTGATTTCACGGGTTTAAACCTAACTAAATATATTGTAAGTGTATATAAGGCGAATATAATAATCTCATAGCCTAACTTGAACTAAATGAAGCCAGTAAGAAGGAATTCGAGGTCAATTTGTTTATTAGTTTTTCCATGATCCAATAAATAATTAGATAAATTATAAACAAATTGAAATTAGTGCAATGGGGAAGGGTTTAGAACAATAATAAATTATGTAACTGAGTTTATTTTAATAATTTGACTTTTTCATGATAACTTATTAGATTTGAGTAAACTCTTAAATTAATAAAGATGATAACATAATTAGGAAATACTTAGATACTATCAAACACTTTATCATAACTTTAAGCAGGATAAATACATACAAAGATATCTCTATCGATATGTATTATTACAACCAAAGAAAGATGTCATCTTAATCAGAGATACTTCAATATCATATGATTGTAAACCATGATTTCTAATTTCTATAAATAATGTACACTTTTATTCCTTTTTTACTAAGGGATTTTCTAATATGTGCTTAAGGACACATATAACAAGTATTAATTAATCACAATTATTATCATAATTAAATAAGGGCACATATAAGAAGTATTAATTAATCACAATTATTACTATAATTAAATATGAAATGCATTAATTATAGAGATCATTAATGAATTTTATATTTAATTATGGTAATATTTCTTATAATTAATGTGTTTAACATTTAATTATGGTAATAATTATGATTAATTAATACTTCTTATATGTGCCTTTAGGGCACATATTAGAAAATCCCTTTTACTAATATGCCCCAACTCAAGGTTAATTCCCAATAATTAATCATAAGATAATTCCTATGCGGCCTATTGAAGCTGAACAAAAACTTAATTTTTATTGGTGGGAGAATTGACTCGAGTCGCGGTGGCTACTCCAGGGCTACAAAGTCAATGACTTTGAAAACAAGAACTACGATATCCCTTCTATTAAATGAAAATAATTTTGAAACATATTATTCTCTCATTAACTTGGATATATGTCATTTTTTGATATTTTTGAATAATTGTTTTATCCATTTGTCATTTTTTTTTTAATATTTTCTTAACACATCATATTTACACATCAATTAATAATTGTTTTAATTCAAAATAATCAATAAATTACAATATTAGTATTCATATAGTATTTAATATGTTTCATTTTAAATTAAAATTTTAAATTTTAAATTTCAAATCTAAAATTTTAAATTTAAATAAAATTTTATTTAAACTTTTATATTTAATTTTTTGTTTTATGAAACTCGTATAACATATTGGTCTCACACTTAGTTTATAGAATAAATCACAGCCTAAGTCCATGTGGTTTACCGGTTATAATAGTTTTGGTTCTATTTTTGGAAAAATAGCACCACTAGTCCCTATGAATGGTGTTGGTAAAAGAATACCCTTCTACGTTGCTTCCACCATCCACCACCACACCATCACCATCAATTAACTCTACACTTGCTGCCACCACCCTCGCATTTAATTCAGATTAAATACACACAAATTAATTTCTAGATCAAAAGGTTAAAAAAGATGCACTTATTGTGTCTTTTAGGAACCTCTCCTAAAACAGTGGAGATAAGATTTGATTTACTGTAGCATCCTCTTACGAAAAAGAAGTCGGGTTTTTTGAAGTAGAAGATTGTTTAGGTTTTGAGATGATAAGAATAGGGTTGTTGCCGTTTGATGTTTCTTTGACTTCTTTTTCATCAAATGTGACGATTATCTCTTTTGTAGCACCAACATCTAATTTCATAAAGTCTCCTTCGGCGAGAAAGCAAAGTTCGGAATCCATTCACGATTCTTGACCATGTGATAAGTAACTGAACCTAGAATTTAAGAAGTTGATTGGTCAGAGCTTTGCATTTCACAGACGTTGTTATAGAGTTATTTGATGGAGGTGTCGATGTGGTTGGGACTGTCAATGGATAAATTCACTCTCATAGCTGAGTATCATCAATGGGCTTCTCGGTGATGAGTAGTCGACAAGCTCTTTGTGTGGGACATATCCTCCAGTTGATATTTTATCGCCAGTCAAATTTGAGGTCGAATTGTCGGCGACAATTTCAAACATTTTGAATAATTTTGATTTGAATTACACAGTGTTAATCCCACAAAAGCAAATGATTGAGCACACGGTGCGCACAAGAATATGACAATAGATAGCACTAGTAATGGAAGCAATCAAAAATCATGGAAAAAAAATAAAAAATAAAATAAAATTATGGTCATTTTTGTTGTTTTTTTACATGGGTATTAACTTTGATTAATAGGGTTTACGATCTCATAGACCAAATTTGTTACCCAGACCCTCTATAAAGACGAGTGGTGTTACTTTTAGAAAAATATAGGATTAAAATTGTTATAAACGGTAAACCACATAGATCGAGACTATAATTTAGTCATATTTGTATTTGTGTCATCTCATTTGAGGTATAATATTATAAAAATATATAATTATTTAAATTTAAGCTACTGATGTAAAACAACACTTAACTACTAGTGAACATAGCTTAAATGAATTAAATACATATTAAAGAATATAATAATGATTTTTAAGTACAAGTTGCCAAAACCAATAGATACAAATCATACAGTAAACCCAAATATTTGAAATTGGGAATAAACTAGAAAAAAATATTTGTTGCATATTTAATATTAAATAAATATTTTATTTAGTATACATGTTCATACATAAGTCGAAGGTTGGGTCTTCTTTAGACTAATGATAATGATAATATCACACATGGTTGTCAAACTCGCGATTCTGATCGTATGATCGTACGATCTTATGATCGTCGGATTGTAAACGGATCGTATTTGGGATATGATCGTAAGATTGTAGATAGGATCGCAGGATTGGGATCCAATCCGATCCTACCCTCCTTTGATTTTTTTTTTCCAAATGAATTTTTTTACCATTTTATGTCTTTTACCCTTTACTAATTTACCGTTTATTATTTGTGTTTGTGACTTATTATTAATATTTTGAAGTATTTATAACTTTTGAAAGAAAACTTAAATGTAAATATTTTTTTATGTTTTAAAATTATAAATTAAAATTATGTTTTATTTTCTAGGATCTTACAATCCCGATCCCGATCATATGATCTCGATCCTGCAAACCCAAAAACAATCCTACTTAAAATTTCAATCTTTGACACCCTTCATATAACAAATACAAATTTGATTTTATTGTTTTTTATTATGAAAAAGATAGCAAATGGGGTAATAGTCAAAAACCTCATTCATTTTGTACTCTTAAGTCTTTAGTCTACATGGCTTCTTTTTCCAACGCCTTTTTTACACTAATCAAAATCAACTCTACAATTAATACTTTCTATTGTCATTTTCTTGTATATCAAATTAAATTTGATTTCATTAGAGAATAAACCTTTAGTCAAAAACAAATTTTCTTTTTGGTTTACACCTTTTTTTACAAAATCCCTGATACAAATAAATCAAATGATATAGGATTGAAAAAAGAATCCGAATTCCTATTGGAAAGTCTATTTTTATATGGACTGAAGTTGGTTATATGTATTTGTTTTCTTGTTATATCTATCAAAATACTATATTACTCCCCTTATATTCCTTGTAGAAACCTACTCTATCCAAAAGCTATTATCGGATGAATCCAAATATTTAACTTTTAATACATAAATAACAAGTTATTTATGCTATTATTGACCGAGGGTGCTTAAACGATCCTGGTTCACTGACTCATAAAAGTGACCCAATCTCTCAAGCTAAACCGAAACAACTAAAAATTAAAGGATTGTGCTAGATTTTTAACATATTTAATTAAATGTGCCAATTTGTTTAACCTATTTAATTTAAATTATTTGGGTTACGAATAAAATGTTCAACCTAAATAAACCCATTTAATTATAATATTTATTCTTATTTTATAATTAGTTTAATATTAATATTTATTTATTTTATATTTAATAAATAAATATAAAACCCTTATCCTAAAACTTTGCCCTTGTACTTTTAAAATTCAATTGACTAATCTAATTTCCATTCTTTACTCGTAAACTTAATCCGAATGTGAAAGTGAAGTTGCTTAAAGTAAATTGAGTCGCTTAAAAGTTAGACATATCCAATGTTATTTAATAATTCATTTGTATTGGTAGTTTTTTGTTTTTTTTAAATAGGTGCAGTTTTTCATTTAGTTCTTAAAATAACCTAACACGAGTTCAAAAAATTTAACAAGTTGGGTTGGGATTTAAAAAAAAAAAAAAAAAAAAAAAAAAAAAAAAAAAAGAGAGAGAGAGAGAAGAGAGAGTCACCTTCAACTCATTTTTTTAACAGATTGGATTGAAGTTCTTAACCTGTTTAATTAAACAGATTGAGTTGGATTGGGTTAAGACTTCTGATCCGATTAATTAAACAGATCAACTTAAACCCAACCCAACGTGACCCATTGGCACAGCTAGCTGACTCACCTCATAAAAGTTCATGATAAACCAATTTAGCATCTAAAATAAATTGCAAGGTATTCTTTTAACAAAGTAGATATTACAACAGCTTTAAATTACATGCAAAATGAAATTTCAAAAAGAATAAAACTAAAATACGAAATGGCAAAGAAAACGCCTTGGAAAACAATGGCAGCCCAGGCCCCTACAATACAAGATGTGGAATTCCATGGTCAAAGTTACGACCATTTCAACATGTCTATATACACTTTCTAATAATACAAGTCTAACTAATCCATAAAGTATATATATTAAATTCACTCCATTCCAATGGAAAAAAAAAAACACCCATAAGTTCATTTTTAAATCACGTGTGAGTTGATTTTAAAAATCAACATTTGTAGAGTTTAGCAAAACTGGTTTTGATTTTTTTGGATTTTTTAGGGTTTAAATAATTAGTGGTGGTAAATGTAAAATTAACTGATTATCTTATTCAGACAAAGAAAATAAAAAATACCTGAAGTTCAACTTATTGTCCCATAAGAACGGGAGGCTCAAACTGTAATGGCTTCACAAGCCAATTGCTAAACTGTGGGCTTTCTTTAAATACTTTCAAGGCTGAATTATATTCATTGGCCCTCTCCTGCCAATAAATAAATAAATAATGAGCTACAAATTATCGACTAGGGCTATTTATCATGTTCTGTATTACCTTTAGTCTCTGGTAAGAAGTTTCACTCAATGAAGAATTGGGTAAACTTCGACTCAGTGACAAGAATGACTCCAACATTCTCTTCCTGTGAATTTTTTAAATAAATAAATAAAAAAAGGTTAGACAAGTAAATGGAAATGACAGTTTTACCCTTGATTAAACTTGTGTTAGCTTACTTGCATAAAGTTGATTCTGAAGAGGGGTGCATGGCACCTTTTCCAGATGTCCCCTGCTTCCGACCAGTGGTTCCAAGAATGACTTCATGAAGGCCCGACTTATTCCAGCTTATTGAATATCTGTAAAGTCAATCTTCACGTAAGTTTAACTAAAATGACACTTTTACCCTCGATTAAAAAAGCAAGCAAATCTTACCCGCATGTTAAAGTGGATGCAGCAGTTTCAGCATGGCGAAACACCTCGAGGGGTACCGAAGCTACCGAAAACAACGGCTGCCACGTAACAAAAAAGGAACATCAATATTTAGATGGAAATAAACAGTATTAGAGAGAGAGAGAGAGAGAGAGAGAGAGAGAGAGAGAGAGAGAGAGAGAAATTATTAATTATTAATGTAGAAATAAAAGGGTTATCAAAGCACCTTACAACCTTATTCACTTTAAATGGACTTGTTAGTTTCTTTGATAATGGTAATACTCTATCACTCAACGCCCTTGTCAACTGCTCTTCTACTTCCTTATCAGAACAATTTCGAGATTGCCCCACAGTTATTGATGATATGTAAACTGGCTGTAGAAAGTGAGAAAGTAAAGCCCCTGCAATAATAGGTAACTGAATAAACCGTATGAATATAACTAAATGACCATTTTACCCTTACATTAACATTCGGGTATAGTAAAAGAGTAAAAGGTTCAACCTTGGACACCAACAACATTCCAACGGGAAATTTTATCAGAACAGCTCACTGATAAAGTTGCATCACCACGCCCAGGTTTCCTTTGAACAGTGCCAATCACATGAGAACAGTCACCTAAAAGACAAGAATTGCATGAGTCATAACATGAAATAACTTCAAAACATAAAGAGATAAGAAATATAGAATTAATTGCCATTGTTCTTCATGGATGACTCCAAGAATTCCTCCATAAGATCATTCAGTTTGGTTGTTGAGGATATTGAACACCCTTCTTTTATCGAACTATTCAAGCAAGGAAAAAGCTGTGAATTGAGGGAGGCATCTCCACCTACAAGTTGAGCACATATGAGAATGATTGAAACAGTGATTTCGTTTTCAAAGGGCAAAATGGAAGAAATAGCAATGTAGTTTTCTAACTTTTTCATCTTATAACATTGTGCTTGCTTTTTCTCTTTTTACAGCATTTCACTTTCAAACATTACCAATTCTAGCAAATGGGTAAACTATTAATTTGAATTACGATGAGTCAATGACATGGCACGAGTTAATAGGCTCTTAATGCAGCGTCTTTGCCTACATAGGATGTACACGTGTACTATACTGATGACATGTCATCACAATTCAAATCAGCAGGTTATGCATTGCTATAATGGGTAACTTTTTCAAAGTGTAATGCTCTAATAGAAAAACAATCTGTAAGTATAATGTTGTAATGAGAAAAAAAAAAAAAAAAAAAAAAAGTAGACTACTATAATAGGGAAAAACTAGAAACTACATTTTTGTTTCTAGCATGTTTCCTGAATTGTGAAAAGGCAGAGTCTTGAACTTACAAGGCAACTGTGATATGTATAAATGCAATTGCCAACCGGGTCTCATCTTGTATTTACCACTGCCAAAACCACCTGACTCAAAAATGGAGTCTGGCAACTGCATGCTACTCTTTTGAATCTCAGAATAGAAGTACCTGAAAAACAAGTCATTTATAGGGGGGAAATACATTGCCATTTGTCTAATTAGTGTTCACAACTTTATGCTACTGAAAACACAGAATAGAGATGTGAAAATACAAACAAATTGACAGACCTAAGTAAAGCTCTTCTAGCTACAATCTCAGCATGAGAATCATTCAAAACGTCACCATGAACACTAAGACGCGAACGCCCAATGCACTTAGTTCCTGTCCCCAATGCAACCACTTTCAATTCTGCAAATTTCAAAATGCATCAATTCAACCACAAAGGCGATACGGCAATTCCCCAAAACTTCGTATTTCAAGTGAATTATCCACTTATCTCACTCGTAATGCGAGGTAATTGATCAAATAAACATCGTAAAAGTAAAATTAAATGATGTGCAGATGAATTTTGAGTTTCCGAGAGAACTGAGGAGTAGAAGTAAGACCTTGGGAGGGGGAAGAAGTGAGGAATGCGGCCAAGACGGTGACTTCACGACCCTGAGGTTTTCCTTTCTTAGGGAGACGGTTATATGCTGAGAAAACCGTCTGCGAAACCTTCTCTCCCCATTGTTTCTTCTCCGGCGAGGGTGAACTCATTGGCGCTCAGGGGAGATGGAGGGAAATGAAGGGCAATGGAGTGGATAATTGTTGATAGAGTTCGAAGAATCTTATATATTGAGAGTGAATTACAAAACTCTTCATGTTTTGTCCTTCAAAAAATAGTTTCGCATATATAGTCCTTTAATAAAATCTTTTCTTTCAATTAAATCATACACATGGTCTTTGTTAAAGAAAACTAAAGTGTACATGACTCTACCATTGGGTTAAATTGTTTGAATATCTTATTATTCATCACAATTGTTTTCAGAGAAATTAAATTGTTTAAATATCTTATTATTCATCACAATTGTTTTCAGAAAATTATTACCTATATAAAATGATGACAACCATTGTATTTTGATAATATTAATTATATTTTAATACACGTGTTATTATTTCAAATTGATAGAAATATAAGTAAGAAGAAAAGTATGATGATATTTAATTTCTCATGTTTTCAAATATAAAAATAAGACACAAGCTATATATATAGTTAATAAAATTATATCTAAGCTTATGTCTTATGTGGGTTCTATATATGTTAGGTATATGCAGTGTTGGCCTTGGCGGCCGATTAATCGGCGATTAATCGTTTGGCGATCTCGAACCAATTACGATTAGGGTGCTTGGCAGAAATTGATCAAAATCGATCAAACTCGGGCTTGGCGGTCCTCGGCGGTCATATGCGGGAAATATTTAAAAAATTCAAAAAAAATAATTTTCAAATATTATATCAAAATTTTAAATTTTTAAGCTTTCTAATTTTAAAATATTATACTAAAATTTTTAAAATTTTAAAATTTAAAGTTTCCAAATACTTAATTTTTTAGGAAATATTAATTTTTTAAATAATTTTAATAATAATTTAGGGTCCACGATTAATCCCCGCCGAATCTAATCTGATTAATCGTTTATCGTTTGTCGATCGCCGAGCTACTGCCGAATGATTTTTACAACCTTGGGTGCATGAGTATATCCATAGAAAAAAAACACCGATGAAAATGTTAAATAGGTCTAAGGTGATATGGAAGGATAAACAAAAAAAACAACCTATTGTTTGGAGTAAGAATCATCATGATAACTTTAATGATGTATAATAAAACTATTTAACAAGGAGTGTCTACGTTTTCATAAATAGATAATGTTTACTGCTTTCACGATGTCTTTCCAAGTTTACATTTGTGTCCTTAGGTAGGGAATGACTAAACTTTATCGATATTGTCATATCAAAAAAAAGGAATGGAAATTTGAGGAATTTTATATTGTCATATATACCTTTTTTTGTAACATCTTCAAAACCATGACAAAAAAATTTCATTTTTATAAAGCTTTTTAATGAAACCATAAGATGATCAACCATTTCTCTCAAATAAAAATCCATAGAAATCAAATTATCGAATAATCTCCCAAACATAAATCAGTGGGAGGATGTGTACGATCACGTCTTTGCCTTGCCCCGATCATTTGATATACTTGAAAACATTGAACTCAACAACTATATGCTAAAACTTAGTGAGTTCCCTCAAAGTACCCCAAACAAAAATACATGTACACTTGGCCCATAGCAAAAGACTAGATTTCCCCTAAGCCCAGAACATGAGAATGGATTACCCCCTCCCGATCCACAGCTCATGACTGACTTGCTCCCGAGCCCACAACATAAGATTGGATTGCCTTCCCTGCCCACTTCTCATGAATGGCTTGCTCACGAGCCCACAACATAAGACTGGATTGCCCTCCCGACCCAAAGCTCATGATTGGCTTGCTCCTAAGCCCACAACATAAGACTGTATTGCCCTCCCAGACCACATGTATAATATGTCAAAATACGAAGGTAAAAAATCCATTTTAAAAATAAACGATACACCCATTTATCATTTACTCAACACTTAAAAGTATTTTATAATAAAAACAGTTATCAAAGTACAATCTCGAAATCACACAATTGCGGAAAAGAATGGGTGTATGCGTTGCAATCAAGCTGGACCCTTCCCATTCGAACCGAAAATACTTGAAACCATAAACAACAACTGTAAGCACAAAGCTTAGTGATTTCTCCAAATACCACATACCATACATAACATACGAGCCATACATAACATACATATCCAACATTCAATAGGAGGTGTTATGTGCCAACCATAGTTTTGCCATTATGTCATGAGCCGTATCATAGTCTTTCTTTGCCAAGTCGGGGACCAAAACCATGGGTCTTATAAACAAGTTCCAGGAGCCACCTCATGGTCTTCCAAGAAAGCATCACAAAGACAACTAGCATATAATCTACAACTACTTATCTACTTAACTGCTAATGTCCAAACTCTGGTCTTGCATACAAATCTGCAAGTAGCCACCTCATGGTCTTTCATACAACCGCCAAGGGCCACCCCTGGTCTTCCTATAATACATAAACCAAATAGGCAGGCATTGGTGCCTTCGACCCATAGTACAGTGAGGAGACTCGCCTCGACAACCGAACCCACGAATAAATCTTTGACTACAGATCCTCTAGAATCCCCGCTCTAGCAAACATGAATAACATTCAATTAACATTTGGGTTCCAAAATATATCGCCCTATTTCGAATCGCTTCCTAATACGGAGTGGTGACTCGAAGACCGAGTATCATCAGGCGTATGGCCTTTGAGGAAAAGATATTTCAACCCATTTGAGTGTGGGTAGCATAATTAGGGTGATCCAGGAAGTTCGGTTGGTGTTTTGGAGCCACAGGGTATTTTGGTAAAGTGTCAGTTTGGGATTTTATGGAATTTGAATTTTTATTCGAGAGGTTTTAAGGCATGTATGAGTTGATATAAGTTTTGAGCTTATCGTTACCTTTTCGTGGATATAAGGATCGTCGGAAATGGAATTAGAACAAAGATTGTTATGGCCTTCGGAAGTTTTAGTGGTTTTAGGGTGAAACCGGGTACGCGAGGCATACACAAGTGTATGCCTGGGCGTATTAGTACTAAGGCTAGTATGCGGGGCGTACAATGGCGTACACCGGGCGTACTAAGCAGAATGATCGCGGATAGCCTAAAGAGTATGTTGGGTGTACCAGAAGTACGTTGGGCGTACTCCAATCAGACCCAAACCCTATTTTAGGGTCTTAGACCCTATTTAAGCTCCTTATCTCATCACCTAACCCTAATATTATCAACTTCCATCCATATAAACCCTATAATCGAAACCCTAGACCCCATTTGAGTGGTTTTTGAGCTTTTGGTAGTATTTTAATCTTTTTGGTGTTCATAGAAGAAGAATGAACTTCTTGGAGAAGTGTGGGATGTCTTGAAGCTTTTGGATCCAAGATTGTTGCATTTTGATCTACATTTTGGAGGTGTAAAGTTTCTATCTTGATGATATTATATTTTAGATCTAGTTTATGGAGTATTTTGTGCTTTTTGGAGTCTTTTGTGATAAAGATGGGTTTTTCATCTACTCCAAAAGCAATAGGTGCTAGATCTTAGCTCCATTCAGTCCCAAGGTTCATAAAAATGCAAGCTTTATGATGTATTGTGGTCCATGCAAGCATTAAGTCACTTGTTAAGTCCTCGTTAAGCTTAAGAGCTTCATTTATCCATGCATGAACGTACAGTTAACAAATTTACGTGATAATCTAGTTCAAGGAAGTCAGATTTATGTTTTGAAGCGATGTATTAAGGGATTACGTGATGGGATTAAGTTTTGGGCTGAATGGGTGAGTACATTGGGCGTAAAAGTAGGTACGCTTAGTGTACGAGCCCTTAAGCAAGTACCCTGTGCGTACGTGTTGGGTACGCCCCGCATACTCATGCTGGTGGGCTTCGCATGTTTGGACCTTGGATTTGGATTATTCTTTGGGCTTTATGGATTGGGGATTTGTTAGGCCACCTGAATGCAAGAATTTGGAGTAGAGAAAATTAGTGGTCCTTAAGGTAAGTCCCATGTAAGGTTTTGTGCCCAATTTATAAAATTAGGCCATATATGGGCCTCGAGTGTTTATTGGATCATTGGACCTTTAAATTGTTGGGTTGGACCTAGGTTGGGTCGGGCTGGTAAAGGGTAAAAAGGTATTTTACCCTAGTTTGGGTAATTAGTATGGATCAGATCCGATTATTAATGGATGATTATTATGGTGATTTGTAGTGCGAGGATTTAGCGAGGCAACGGCTAAAGATTCTTTATGTGAGATTCGGCAGTGCAAGGTGAGTTTTTCTCACTGTAATTTTGGGTTGAAGGCACCAAGGATGGCCCTTTGGATTGCTATCCAGGTTTATCGTATGATTGTATGTGTAGTGATATGTTAGATCTATATCCTGTATATACGATGATGATATGTGTAGTGATCTGTTAGATTTGTATCCTGGTATATAGGATGATGATATTATTAATGATATGTTAGATCTGTATGATTGTCTGTACATGCTAACTAGTGTTTGATATGGTATATGTTGATATGTGATGGTGGGTTGGGTTGAGGCGGTCCTGCTTTGTGTTGAAGACCAACAGACCCAGGGCATCCCGGATAGACAAAAGGCCAGTGGGGCGTACCAGTCAGGCTGAAGGCCCGGAGAACATTCCAGATAGGTTGAAGGTCCAGTATGGTGTACTAGTCATGGTGAAGGTTCTGTGAGCGTACCATGTAGACTGCAGGCCAGTAGGGAGTTCCAGTTAGACTGAAGGATCTATATGCATGTTGTTTGTTGTCATTATTATGATATCGTGATGTGATGGTATTTTGAGGGCACTTACTAAGATTTTGACTTATAGTTTTGGGTTATGTTTCAGGTACCTCATAGGATCGCGGGAAGGCGAAGGCGTAATCATGCACCTCCTCGTGTTATGTTTTATGATTTTGGGAAAACCTTGATGTTGAACATGTTTTGAAAACTATTTTTTAAACAATGATGATTTATGGGTTGGTTTTACAAGTTTACAAATTTTCATGAATTTTATGGATGTTACACAAATCAAAACCAATAATCTATATATGGGGGATAAAAAGACCATTTTACCTCTCACCTAGTTTGGTCCAAGACCAAGGCCCAAACTCCCAATCAAAAGTCCCACAAACCAATTAATCATCC